AGATAAATTCCGATAATAATTCACTAAATATTTTATTTTCTTCTTATTAAATAAGATTTTGTTATTTTTTGAGAATGTTTCAACAGCGATAAACATTTAAAAATTAATTTGTTTAGACATTTATTTGCGCTTTGCTTTCTTTGATTTGCGAGGTCTCAATTTCACGCATAATCTCAATAGATAATGTAATTTGTGCGTAGAAATGTTTAAAAATTTTAATTTTTTGTTATTTCTAGATTGAAATGAATTTCTTTACGCTCTGTGAAGGATTATACGATTACTATACCTCGTATTCTGTCGACGGTAATCCCGGTTAACGGAGGTCGTCTTTAGGGCCGTCTCTCGTCGGAGGGACAGCCGATAGGCCGCGGGCTCGATTTCAAAGAAGCGCGCTACAGCATAACCATAATTCCTCGAGAAATATGACCCAATGACACAATAAGTACCGGTCATTACCGCGCGCGTAACCGACTCCGGCAGGCGGTAAGAAAATTAAATTCCCACGCGCAATCGCCTTCGCGCCGTTAATGTTTTCCGTCCGCATTAGGAGGTCGCTTGTGTGAATTTGCAGCTACGTTTTAGCCACGCAACTTTTCTACGCGGAATACTTGGAGATAAAACGAGAAAGGTTCCGTCAACACTGTTATTTCAATTTTTTTAAATAGATTACACTTGAAGCCGCGGAACGAAGCCGCATTTTAGAGAACTTTGCAACGCGCAAAGGCTCCCGCTTTCCTATTTTCCTCACAAACGTATTACCGCTGCGCGTTGCGGCACTCATGTCGGAGGAATAAAGCCTGGATCGCGCATAAATATTTCACACATCACCCATCGAGATATACAGGCGTTTAAAGGCGCGCGAGGAGAAAAGCGCTCCCGGCACTAGGGGTTGGCTGGCGGAAAGTTTCGTGCGATTTTACGTTGCGTCATAAATGCGGGATGTAAATCATGCAGGGGACACGAGCTACTCCGCGGAGGCGCGTAAAAGTTGAAGGATCAAGAAGGAAGTGAAGAAGAGTCAGAGGATCATCGACAACGTAATTAATCCTGTACACTGAAAGTGCCTAACGATTATTTCTTTCTCCTATTTTTTCTTCTTTTTTTTTACACAAGGTATTATATAAAATTAAAGATTTCCTACAAATGTTGTGAAAGTTTATAATTTATAGAGCCTATTAAAATCCGTTACAAGAAAGTGACGCGACATTTAACACTATTATATTCAATTTAGTGTTATATATACATCTCTGAATTTTAATATTTCTATTAAAATTTATTAGCAATTAATATTTTAGAAATTAGAAATTTAAAAATTATAATTAATTCTCCTCAAATAATTACTTATGATACTCTATATTGTAATATTTCTCGGAATAAAATAGAATAACCTTGATAAACTGAGTTATAATCATGTGTGTATATCCGTTTTTCTGTCACTAGCAGCTTGTGATTCGTAAAAGGCAGTAGCCTGAACAAAGAACGTACTTCCGCTGAGAATGATTGTAGCATAAAGTATGAAGCTTTTCGGAAGAGCAGCCACACGTGCTGACCACGTGTTTCGTTGGAAGCCTTGTTGGTAAAGTATAGCCCGTGCTCGCTCATCATCACGAACAAAGGAAGACGCGTCGTCACTCCTCCATAATAAATTTCGTGAAACGATCGCTGCGTGCCGGTAATTAATGATTAGACCTAAACGGCGATCGTTCTCATGCATTGTTAGTAAGCGATTGATGATCAATACATTTCATGTGTTAGCCACTGAAAATCGGAGAACTTCTGTGTATCTCTAAAAGATAAACCGACAAACATTGATTAGTTTCCAAAAGTCATAGACAGAATCTTATCGCGGCTGATAGGCTGCAGTGTTCTATACACATGTACACACGAGGAGCAAAAATATCTGTGTGACTCGTCATTCTCAGAAGGAGTAGCTGTGATATTTAATCGAATGTGATAAACGTCATTCACGACGCAGCACGGTATCTCATCTCTTTGCGCTCTGACTGATATAATAAGGTAGCTTTTATTTACAGTCTCATGGTCAATCAATATGGCCCTTGAATCGTGATAAAAAAAATGTTGTTTTTACACGACAGTTTTTCTCAAGTTCATAAACGATTACTAAATTGTTGCTTACACAAAATAGTAAAATAAAAGTAAAATAAAAGAAACGCGAAATAGAGCTTATTTTTAGCTTATAATAATTGTGAATGTATTTGCTACAGAATCCTGTCGCGTAAAGTATAAGAGTAGTTGCAAAAAAGCTGCCCCTCTTTGCTACGCGATTCACATGGCAGAAATAACTCGCTCTCCCGCTTTGAATTAAGAAATCGAGCGTTGCCATTGTCGATGTAACGCGGGGAGCTTTTAAGTTTCGCAATCGCATTACGACTATTTACGACCGACCCGACGACTGCTCGCTTTATGCAAATTGCCGCGTTGCAATTCCTGCAAGAAGTGTGAACGTAGCGACTGTATACATAAGAATCCCTCACTATTATCCCATAACTTTTTAGCATACATAGTACAAAGTGCAGTTCTTATTACAAATAAATTAGAAAATGTGAAAAAAATATTTTTAATCCCTTTATGTTGCGTTTACTTTAGAAAAGCTGTATTTTACAGATTGGTTTTCAAAGTATAAACGTCTTTCGACAATCGATTGTTTAATAAGCAACACGATTCCTTTAATATATAGCTTATTTGTTGCACTTGTAATTAGAATAATAATTTTCGAAATTAATCAAACATCGTATTGCTTATTGATTATGTCAAATTAATATATCGACACGTGACAATATCAGCTCCACCTATTCGTCATCAAGCGCTGCGAAATAAATCAAAATTACTACGGTGTGAAAAATATTTGTGTCATTATTCCGAGAAACGCATATCATTACGCCGTACTAATCACGTACGAAATAACAACGCACGGCGATCGCTTACCATTCATTTGTTGGCGATGATATTATGAAGTAAGCGTTAAATAAACAGGCTTCTTTTAATGCGCGCGTTTAAAGCATTCATATTTTTCAGCTGCGTATTGCAGTATTCATTCAGAACCTTATCAGGCATGTTGAATGAAATCATAAAGTATAATTTGAATCCGTCAACGTGACTTCTTCGCTTTCTATAGTATCATAGTAGAGCACTATTTTTCGACCAAATTAACCGTCGCGGTTGTACGAGATCGATGTAAGATTCAAATTCAACTTCGTCTTGCAAAACACGTCAAAGGTAATAAAAAAATATAAAAAAATAAAATGTTTATTCATTACTAATAAAGTTAAAAAATTAGAATCGTAAGTTCTATATTCTAAATTCGTATATTCTAAACGCGTTGCATCACACTAGTATTATCTGCAAATTAACGAACGAGGAAACGTGAGAAAATTAAAAGAAAAAATTGTTTTCTCGAAGCAGGTAGCGCGCGGCACTAGACACGCGGAGATTTAATCGGCGGGACATTCCACGAGGATGATGATTTCACGGTGATGTCACCGCGGCATCGAGCGGAATCGTAATCAGGATTTCGCCTTCAAGGATGCGCGCGCGCACCGGCCGAGCGAGTTGCTCGGCACGGCGCGGCGGATACCGATTACCGATCTCGCCACTACGATAAATCGTACGATTACGAATCACCGCCGTGCCCGCGTCGCGACGCATGCCCCGCGCCTTCGATCCGAGATTGCAGGAGATGCACACACACACGCGCTACCGACTTCTGTAAACAACGCGCGCCTCACTTCCGTTACGCGGCCGCGCGCGCTCAATTCCACGATATCGCTCTCTGCGCGACTCGCATCGATCGGCTGTCGCGTTTAATTGGGCGATCCGACGATCGAAACCGTGTCAGATCTAACGATCTCGCCTCGTTCTAATTACCGAACTCGTACGGCGGAATAGCACGGAGATTGCATGGATACAGCGACGGAGGAAAAACACTCTTTATCAGACGTACGATTTTATAAATAATTTAGGACTAGTTCCACCCCAATCTGAATTTCACGTTCGCGATAAACAACACCCAAATTATGTACGTTTAACAGCCGGTCTTTAGATTCTTTTCGGCCGAGATTATCGGCCACGTGTGGTAAATGACTTTCCGATTGACGTCAGAGCGCACGTTGCAGTTTGCACACGCGTGTCGAGCGAAAGAGTCGGAAAGAGAGGGAAAAAAACAGAGCGTTGAAGTTGCGTATTTTATTGTCAGACCGCAACGTTAACCAGTTGTCATAATCCTATGCGGCATGCGAATATTCGTATTTATATTTAAGCTGCTCCGATAAATTGCACTTGTGTCGACGAGAATGGCTCAACGCGCGATAGGCATTCCTTCGCGATAAAAATATGTTGTAGCCTGTCACGCAATTATGGTACAAATGTCAATTAATCGATCAAAGTTTAATGACCCGCGAGATTAAAATGTTAAGTGACACACATTCAAGATTTTCGGTATTCCGAAAACAAATCGAGTGATATTATTTTTTCCGAATCATCGGTCGAGCAGGCATTTAAAATTCACTTGAATTTTGCAGATATTAACCATTGCAAGAATCAAGTATCGAAACGTTCTCAACATTGTTAAATATTAAAGGATAAAATTTAATAAAAATCAATACCTTGAATTAAATAACATTTTGTTATTTCTAATTCACGTGTATCACGTGTATCGAAATTTATTATTTTAACACAAAACGGTATCACTTTAACTTTATTGGTTTAGTTAAATTAACGATATATCTTGAGCTATGGCAACTTCATAGAAATGATTAAAAATGACTTACACAAATTAAGTATATAATTTGACGAATTATCGAATTTACCAGTGAATGTTTCGAGCATGCCTGCCCGAGCGAAAGGATGAGATGAAAACAATTGTCGCTGCCGCACTTCCGTGGGATCGTCAGCGTGTGAAATTCTTTTTCGTGCAATTTTCCGCGACTTTCCGCCGTCGGTTAGGTTAGGTACGATATAACTCTCGAAAGTGAGGTACTCACCCGAGGATCCTCGGCGAACGTTGAGGAGTTCTCGCCGGCGACGACGGAGCGGCGGCGGCGGCGTGCATCCACGTGTTCTCGACGCGGCGTAGTTTAAATTTACTCGTACAAACGTCGGCGCGACACGACGCGAACACAAGAAACCACCGACCACCGCGCGCGGCGGCGTCTCTTTCACGATCCCGCGCGATTATATCACCGCGGTCATCGCCGCCTCTTCCTCTCCCGAGACCGGGTTGCGTTTCCGGCGCCTCACTTTTCCGCGAAACGCCGCGTGGCTTCACTTCCGCGAATTTCCGAGCAACGAGCGATTTCGTCGCGCGAGTCAACGCGCGATATGTCACGTATCCTCGGCTGCAGCTCGTCGTTTTCCCCCCCGCGAAACGTGTCGTACGAACCGTCGACGTGTCGACGCGATTATTGTCGGAGCACTGGAGCAGTTCGATTTGCGTCGAAGGATCGACGTTGCAGCGCTTGCCGCGCTTAATCGATCCGCAGCGAATTTCAGTCTGGTGTACCGAGGGACTGAAGTTGGCCGCGCTTCAGTTCGATCACACTGTCGTTTGAATTTTCACTGAACTTCACACTCTCGTACGTCCCGCGTGATTTCTCCGTATCTCGACTCTCCGCGTTCGACGTGGCACCAGGCTTCTTTTAAGACTCCAGAAGCAGAAGCAAGAGCCACGCGGGCAATCGGCAACTCGGTAGCGTAGCGTATCTTGCGACGCGTATCACGTGGCCGCAACGGTTACCCACCGCACTTGTTGATTGTCGCCGTAGACACGAGCGCCTCGTTGACGAGGGACATAATTCCCGCGGAATTCCGATACGCGTACGGATCACCTCACACACGCAAGTCCGATAACCTCGTACGTAAACGAAGGGCCACTCTCGATCTCGTCTCACTTCCGTTAATATCGAAACGCTCGCCGAAACTGTCGCGCACAAATCGCGGAAGAGCACCGCCGGTCGGTGCTTTCTCTCGTCGAGTTACGTCGCGATCTTGCTGTCACGATCGAGCGAAGAACACTGCATGGTCGCGAAACACCGTAGAAACTAACGAAAAACTCATTCGGAGCTTACCGGAGCAACGGCACGACGCGACGGCGCGCCGCCTACGCGCACGAGCGATGCGTTCAAATCGAATTAGCGCCACGAAATGCGGGAACCGACTCCCGCGACCGCCACGGCGAGACTGAGAAGCGAGAGCGGCGTGCGCATGCTCGGCATGGCACGCTTACGTCGCTTTACCCGCTTCGAACCGAGCGAGTCCGTTGATGCCAGAGCGCGCTCGCGGCTCTCTCGGAAACACGAATGACGGAGAGACGAAGCGGGGAATAGACCGACCGACTGCGACTGTGACTAGGCACTAGGCAGTAGGCACGGTGCGGCGCGCGCGGCGTGCTTATTTGGTTTATCCCCACTCCACCCCCACCACTCGTGTTGACGAGAGCCACGGACGTCGCGCCGCGCGCGCCCGTCCCCTCTGCCGCATTTCCCCTCAAAGATCGCGCGGAGTAAATACACAACAATCACCGGGGCCCGACGCGCGGCGGTTGAGATTACGAAAAACTGTAATATATCGAATATTTATTTATACACGTGCTTCGCGGAATTTATACGGATAATATATCGAGGTATATCGCGTTCTTTTGGATAATCCGTCTCGCTTTTCTCAACCGCCAACTTGACTCGCGTGTCGCGCGGCTTCGGAAAGAAGTTGCCGTTGTTTTCGGAACACAGGTAGATACGAGCGGACCTTAAATTGAGTGGCGTCTCGAGTAATATGTTTAATTAGTTATCGTCTCTATTAACGTCGTACATTTAACGTCTCTATTAATTATCGATAACGTCGATAACAGTTTTTATTAACGTCGTATTTAGTCGTGTTTTGATATTTGGCGATCGTGGAAGATATAGACACAATATTCATAATCGATGATTTAATTGCAGTTAACCAAAATTGCCTCGCAATTAGTAAAGTAGCAATCGTATTATTTTCGGTTGGTATGTTCCGCGAATAACTCATCTGACATTAATTCACACATTTATTCCTCCTACGTCGCTTAGATTGCAATAGTAAAAGTATAATGACATTATATTCGTTGTTCAAAGTATATCTTATATATACATATCTCTTTAGCTGGCGCCAGATTATGCGCGATTCGTGGTTCGTGATTTGCGGGTCGTCATTCGCGCCGATTCGCTAGCGGAACGTTTTTTTTTTTTTACGAAATCAAAGAGATGAATCGAAATCGCGAAATGATGAACCATGAATAGTGGAGAGTCTACATTGGCAAACGGGCGAATCCATACGAATATAGAGAATCGCAAATCACGAACCACGAATCGCGCGTAATCTAGCGCCAGCCTCTCTATTAGTGTTTCCGCTAGGGGAAAAGATACTTGATCGATTTCCAGTGTGGGAGCAGCAAGCGTCCTCGCGTCGCGCGACGGTTGCTCCTGGCGAGTGAAGTTGGCCGCGCTATTTACGAAATTTTCTCCGCGCCCCGCAGTCCACCATGTTAGCGTCCTACCTGCGGGACGTCAGCGGATCGTATAGCTTAATTTGCTTCGTAGCTTCTCCGACGACTCCGGCGTAATTCTTCCGTCGCCGTGTAATTAAGTACGCGTCGCGTCGCGAGATTAATACCGGGAGTGCCGTGCAAAGTGTCGCGCGGTCATAAGCGACGATATTGTCGATCTTCTCGCGTGAACGTCGCGAGTGAGTCGAGTGAGTGCGCCGACGAAGATGCGACGGATGCGACAATGGACCGAGAAGAGGAGGAGGCCAGGGCCAGAGGAGGCGAAGGCGGCCTGGGAGGCATCGGGCGACAGCGGAGCGACCGTAGGGTGAGTAATTATTCGTTTATTATTTTGCTGTCCTGTCAGTCCTGTCACGGCCAGGTCCCGTCGCTTTCTCAAGCGCAACTTGATTAAATGATAATGAAACCCATTAAATGATAATTGATACTCATTATTCGTACAATACCGTTTGAGGTTAACTCCGGTGCAATTTCGTAATTTCGGAGTCCAATCTCCGATATGCGAGAGGAGATATTACATCGCGAACGTCGCGTCTCTCTCTTAGGCCCAGTTTCACAAGTGTCGGTTAACTTTTAACCTTAGATTAACTTACTCTTCGTCTTTTTCTAAAAGGGACGTTAAAAGGAGACGAAGAGTGAGTTAATCTCGGAGTTAATCTAAGATTAAAAGTTAACTGACACTTGTGAAACTGGCCCTTATATTCGCACGGTCGTAATATATATATTACTTGCACGATTTTTCCCGGATTAATTATGCGAGTTAATGCGAAAATATGCAGCCGCTTGCGGCTTACGGCGGCCGCGATCGTTTCTCGCACTGACATATTTTAAAATCAGATATCTCTTAAAAACGATGTTTTAAAAAATGCCTGCTTTAATGTAAAACTATTTTTTTATTACAGATCAAAGCAGGATTACAACTCTGCTGTTGCGCATCGGCCGGTGAGTTACTTTTTATTTCAATATCGAGGCAATGGATTGGTATAATTATATTAAAAACGTAAATAATATGTATGTATAAGAAATAAGATGTGATTTTTATAAAATAATATCTATTGCCTTGAAATAAATCGGCTCGGAAATAGAGCCTAGAAAATATTTTTACTATTTGTAATCCTCTGCCGACTTTTTATCACGCAAGATTACGCGTACTCAGTGATAGTGATACGATATCTGAATGGGGCCGCGGCTTCTCCGGCAACGTGAGTAGTAGGGTTACACCGAACACCCCGTGTCTGGTCAGCCTACCCCTACTCTGTTCCCCACCACTTATGTTGCCGAGAATCCACGGGTCCATGGTATCACTGATTGTGAGTGAGTCAGTCACGCAAAGTCGTCCCTTCTCAGTCGCTCCTGCGACGCGCAGCATCGCGTTCCGTGTCTCTCTCGCGCTTCCGACCTGTCTCCCTCGCCGCCCGACCGCGCCGTCCCCGCGCGCTTCATTGAGAATCCTTATCTCCACTTCTTCCTAACGTCGGCGTCGATTGCTTACATCAGAGGTTGCCAAACGTCTCACCGCAGTCGCGTCGCGTCTTCTTACGAAATCGACGCGCATTCAAATCCGGAGATAATTTCGAGTTTAGACTCGAGATTTGAGAATACCTATATAATGCAGAAAGAGCTAGACGCATATCGCAATAGGTGGTGTCGCGTGTTATTAAAATGACTTAAAGAAGAGGCACTTGAGATGACCAAAATATCAATTTTCTATGTTTAAAAATACATTGTCTCTTGCACATTTTTAACTGATACAAATTGAATTTTGGATATGTCTATAGATGTCTAACAAAAGGTTTGTTCTTTAAATTCTTAGAAGTGGATGATTAAAAGCAATAACGAAACAAATTTTAGATGTGAGATTGTGATGCTAAATAGTAAATGGAAACCTTCGGCCGTAAATCATGGTTTTTAATCTTTTCGTATTTGTATCTCTTTTTTAGAAAATACTGTAAATTAATTATAATCTTTTTTGAACCTCTTTACATAAATGAATGGACTACGATTTAATTCGATTTAAAAAAATTATAATTTAATTAAAAGTCATGAGTGATAAAAGTTACAAAAGAAAAATAATTGTTTTTAATCCATAATCAAAGTTTAACAAGAGATTATCTAGAAAAGAATATCAATTAAAATGTAATCAATTGCTGAAAAAATTAAAAAAAATAATTCGAATATGTTGATCCACAAAAAGGAGTATAAATATAGTTTCGCCCTATTTTTACAAGAAAAGTTGAATCTTTTGTAAAACATTACTTAAACATTAGTTTACGGACAATAATTTTTATCTGCTTGAATAATTTTGTACGATGTATATTTTATTTTAATTTTTCCCGAGGAATAGCATCTCTTTCACGCCATGTTTTTTAACATTTTTTTTTAGTAATAACACGCTACAGTGTTATCTTCCTCTCTCTTTCTCGCCTAACTCCGGCACAATCAACCCGCCGCGCGCCGTCTCGTCAACGCGTACTTACGCACCTCGCTCTCTCAGCTGTTCCGCGTGGAGGCACGCACGTGTATGTGCACGCGTAGGCGTCCGTCGTGCCGCAGGCGCCGCGCCGGTCCTCAGTTTTCACGGAATGATCAGCGGGAATGTAGGAGTCTAATTACGCGTGCGTGCCTACCGATTGTTTGCCGCACAGTCAGAGATTTTACAATGTAACGAAATATCGGCTAACCCCATGATGAATAATTCATTCGCGAAACAATTATTGTTATTACGCCCTTAACTCTGTTTTGTAACTTTCATCTACGCGCTAAGTATTTTTGCCGACAGGTTCGGGCCGGCGCGGCGCGGCGATAATTTTCTCGCGAGGTAATGGTTTCTTGAAATATTTTCCTTCTCTAAGAACTGTATACAGCTATGCGGCTATTGTTCCTTCGATTTTGATCGTTGTGATATTAATATCTATTTTATGTTAACGTTGCTATTAATATAAATATAAAATATACAATGATATTAATTAAATCACATATAGGTATATAATTAAATTAATTGTGATATTGTGGTTTTTACTTTTTGTCGCATCTTTTTTTCTTTTATTGCCGATTAAAGCATTATTAGAGTCACAGTAGCTTATATTTCAAGAAGCAAGAGTCCTCCGTTACATCGTCATTAAAAAATTATAGCGTTTATCTTGAAAAAAAAAAAAAAAAAAAATTTTTGCGCGATATCCTCGGGTGGACTTCGGGATGGCAACCCAAAATTTATCATGGCTGTAGGATTGATCGATGGAATGCAACGAAGCATCTCCGTGCAAGCTTGTCCGCTTCAACCGCTGGTCTGGTGCGAATCCGCACGTCCTTGAAACCAAGGATCCCGAGCCATTAATTCCGCGGAGGATGTTCCGCGGGAAAGAACATTCGTCCTCGCCGGCCTCAGCTGTTTCTTACAGAACATGCGAGCATGTTGGAACACGCGTGGATATACGACTATCTTGAGTGAATAGTGCCAGCCCCCACATCGCCTCATGGTCTGCTACTCCGAAAGATCTCTCTCATTCGCCGTCGTAAAATCGACGGGGAAAGCCGCGACGTCTGTTAGAGCTTAAATTTATGCGCGACTCGGCACAAAAAGTGTTTTTAAACTCCATTTTATATATGCGCCGGAATAAAAAACACAAAGTAAGAAGGTAACATTCGAAATAT